TTAAAAAAACACATTATTTTTCACATAATTTACCTTTATTCCACAACGCACTGTCCCTTCTCTGAGAAACGGGCTGATCTTGTTCTCTCTCTCTCTCTCTCTCTCTCTCTCTCTCTCTCTCTCCATGTCTCTGTCATTCATTTATTCACTCATTCATTCTTCTACTCACTCATTCATCATTCTCTCATTCCCTCTTTTAATTTCGGCATCTTCTCACTCTCTTTCATTTAGTAATTATGCAAGGTTCAGCTGGTTTTAAAGGTGATTAATTGGCCAATTCTCTTCTCTTCGCTGCACATCTTAGTTTTCTCTTCCTCTTCTCTAAAGCAGCGCAGGCCTCGCCCCCCTTTGCTGCCTTTTCCCGAGGGCGGGGTTTATCTGTATCACAAACCCGGGAAGTAACTTGTTGTAGTCCCTGTCTCCTGCTGTTTAGTTAGATCATTAGTTAGTTTACAATTTATGTCTTAACGCAAGCTTCAGTTTGCATTCTGAAGGAAGGATATCATTAAGCTTGTGCAGCAGCAGCAGCCGTTATTTTTAGAAAAATATATTTATAACAATAACATTTAAAATGCACTTACAGAATCACATATTTAAAGAAGAACTAACAAATATTTTAACATTAAGCCCTGATTTTCTTTCTGGCAGCTGGGGCCCAACGTTAAGGAGCTTTTTCGTCTAGTGGAGGACTTTTTGGACGTCATCAGTCTCCGCATGAAGGACTTCCAGGATACTTATGAGGTCACCGACAATCTGGGTCAGTTTCCACTGACATTTAACTTGGTTTACACCCTTGCAATAATGTCAGAGGGTGATGGTCATCTTCTTAAATGGTTGAATGTTTGGGAAGGCAGCCTAGAAGTTGCAGCTACAAACCCAAGAAAGAACAGGAGAACATGAACCAAATTACACTGAAAATCAATTAACCATCTGATGCATGGTGTCCAGTACTGTGGAAAGGTCTTTTAAAAGCCATGTCTAACCATTCAGGATGTGATGTATATAAATCTTTATGGGTGATTACCTATGACCCTTTCTCGTAGTTCTAAATGGCTGTCATTGTCATCTCTTTTTGCTAACTAACGTTAAAAAAGCGAAATCGCAATGAACCACCCCTTTAATATATTTTCAAATGTAATTTATTCCTGTAATGATTAAGCTGAATTTTCAGCATCATTACTCGAGTCTTCAGTGTCACATGACCCTTCAGAAATCATTCTAATATGCTGATTTGTATGCATTTCTGATTATCAATGTTGAAAAAAGTTGAGCTGCTTAATATTTTTGTGGATATTAACTTTTTCAGTATTTTATGATGAATAGAAACTTCAAAATATATATTTTTTTAATTTAAAAGCATTTATTTGAAATATAATTCCTTACGGTGTCCAAAAAAAAAAAAAACTCTGTATTTGGTTAGAATACAAACACCATGTCTAACATGTAATTATATCAGCCCTGTAAAACACAAGTTCTAAAGCTGAGATGAATTAGTTGGTTACTTGGTTAGTTTAAAAGTCTTGAAACACAAGCAGTGCAAATTTATGTATAAATCATAAGTAAAACCATCGGTATGTAAATTGATTTGAAAAGTACAAATGGCTTTATGAAAGATTTACACACAGATTTATTTTTTGAGTTTCATAAATAAAAATGAGTCTTTTACAAGTTTTGGAAATTCTTTCAGCGATTAAAATGCTGTCGTTTTGAAGTGGTACAGAGAATATGGCTGGCAGCAGAAGGCTGGGATCATAAGAGAATGAAAGCGTTTGAGCTGAGAGAGTTTGTATGGGGGAGTCGTCTGACAGCATGACACTTTCTCTAGTTGAGATGTGATCGTTGTGCAGTGAGTCAGGATATTGGTGTTGCCATGGATCTTACAGTTCCCTCTGGATTCTCCCTCCAGTGTTGAGTATTCACAAGCGGCCTGTCGCAGGAAATGCAGATATCACTTTCCCCATGAAGGGGTGGAGGGGGATGGTGGACTGGGCTCGCAACTCTGAGGACAAAGTCAGAGTGGCTAAAGACATCCTGGTCACTGGAAAACCAGGTAAGAAACACAAAGTCTCACACAACTATACACATATTTGCGTGTAAGCACTAATAGTAGTACACATGCTGCAGACACATAGAGCCTTGGTGCTCATATGAGAAGCACAAGTTTGAATCTGGCTTGCATTGTGTGTTCATCTAAGACACTATGAAATTCATTTTATTTTTTCCAAAATTCCATTTATTATTATCATTTTTAGTTTTTTTCCAGATTCTATTTTTTAAATCCTTTTTAAGTCTAATCCTTTAAAATGTAATCAATAGAACATCTAATTTAGCAATTAATTCACAGTAAAATGTTCTAAAACATCAGAACTTTACTGCATAAATTAAAACTTGTATGATGTAAATATCTCTTGATTACGATATTCCTTAAAAATAATAATAATAATAATAATCTAAACTGAATGTTCTTTTTCTTATTCTTATTATTCTTACTTTCAGAAGTAATATGTTTCTATCATTATTTCATGAAGTTAACCAGACTTTTATTTTGGCTGATTGTCATGAAGATTTTCTGTGTGTATTTTACATGCCAATAGTTTTTTATCATTTTTACAAATGAAATGGCCGTTCATTCACTTAGAAACATGCAGAGTGAGCAGTTTTGTGGTTTAATAATTCCTAATGTTCATATCACAGTTAGAATTTGATTCATTTTATATCCTTACTTTTGATTTATTATTTCAAAATTTCAAAATTCTGTGACCTTCCGCACTAAATTCCATAGTAAATTCCATTCTTATGCCTGGATTCTTGCCTAGGCTACTCATTCCATTACCTTTTTTTTCTCTCTGAGTAATTTAATGTCTCTTTGCTGTTTTTTCTAGCAAAAACAGTATCTGTGTTCATAACAAATCTTTGTTTGTTTGACGGATTTTATCTCCTTCGCTAGAGAGCAGATTGCTGTAGGCTGTTCACTGTTCATGTCCGACAATACAGGCCATTTAAGAGGCTCCTACCCCCGCAACTATGCTAATAGAAGAGCTGCTACTTAATCAGGAGTCGCCAGGAGCCAATCAGGCGCAATTATAGGTTTAATTCCTTTTCCCACTGGGAGATCTGTTGCCATGCCACCAGCGCTGGATTGACAGGTCGTCAAGCTTTGGACACACTGAGATGAGCTTTTATATTAAAGAAGCTTTCGAATGAGATGAGTGAGAGAGGAATTTGACAGACTGAATCCAATGAAACACATTCTCAGAGAACGAAACACTTCTGGAACTTCCTGTAAAAATGACAGACTTCTCTCCAGGGACGTATGCAGGATTTCATTCAGTCCGCGTTACCACCCCACCCCTGCAAGCTCACATTCACATTCAAGCCTCCACTTTTGAGTGAAACACCTACATCTCAACATCCAGTCATCAACTGATCCATAGAACTACGCCCTACATTTTTTCTTTATCAATAATCCTTTACACTCGGTTGTGTGTCACAAAACAGAAGAAAATATCCATTAATATGTCCATCTCATCGCGACTTTAAATTGATACAACTTAAAAAGGTTACTTAAAGGCACAATATGTCATTTTCGCCGCTGGAGGGCGCGTATTCAAAATTAACAGAGGCAAAGCAGGGATCAACGCCGGGCCAGTGGTTCAAATTTTGGTTTTTATGTTTGTAGATGTTCAGGTACAGAAATTGAAAAATCACATATAAAATATAATTTGCATATTCTTCACTCTGTGTTGCACCTTGATTTTTCATAGCTATTTGAAATTAGAGGCAACCACTGCATTTTAATCATGAACTGAAAAAAAAGTGCAATGTTTGATTTATATTAGACTGTATTTCAAAATCTGAAGCAAAACCAGAATAACCTGACTTTAGCTATGTGAAATAATGCTACAGAAAACATCGGTATGAAACAGAAACAGCAGGTGGGCTGAATGAGACGCAGATTCACTCTCTGAAAGCAGGCGGCGCTTATGGTACGCTACAGCGTTTCCTTGGTTACCACTGTAAACACAGCAGCACTGCGCGTATTAACACTCATTTAAATGCATTATACGGAGACAAAATGAAAAGAAGACGCCATTTCTGAAAACAGTCAGTTCCGTTCCCCTCAAACACATTCATAAAATACAATATTTGGATTTTCGTCCTATATTTCGCGCATCGTGAACAGTGATCTTGTTCTGCCTGCTACAGTATTTTCTCCTCTTTGTGTCCGTCTTCAGCATCTCTGGCCTCTGTTAATGGCCGTTTACAGACTAAGTATAATAATAACGTAATATTTCCACACAAATGGCCATTGGGAAAATGATTGCAGTGCAGTTTGTGTGCAAGCACGGAACAGAAGATAGTCTGAAATAAAACAAAAATTGCATATGTACTCCAGTGTATAAATTCAATATATTTTAATCATTGTTAAAGCTACAAAGTTACTTGCCAGGACGGGTATTTTGACATACTTTTGTATGTATTTGCCAGTTCAGTCGGCTCGACGCGGCTGTCTGTGCGCGCGCTGTTCACACAGAACACAGCGCGTGAGTACTGAAAGGAGTTGTCTTTCGAACCCAAATGCTTTTTAATCGCTTGAATTTTTTAATTCTTAAAGTCTTAAAAACACATGCAAATGATAAAATGTCGTGCAGACGCTGCAGTGGCCCGATCGGGCAAGTGACAAATCCGTCTACTGTCCCGAACGTCTTTCACGCTGGCCCCAGGCCATGGGGCAGTCCTTATTGTCGAGCCCTGGGCAAAGGCGTAGTTTGATGACGCCGTGACTGAGTGTGGAATCATGGGAGTTGTCATCTTCATCCCCACAGCTGATGCAATTCGACGGGACTCGGGCAGAAATCATGTTCATGGATGAGCTAATGATTTATTAACGTAGTAGAATGAAGCAGGGTGAGGCTGAAAGCAGTCAAAGTGAAACAAGGCCGCTGAACGAGCATGACACACGGCTCGAAGACAGCGGAGCTTTTATTATGTCACAGTCGACCGCTTCCGCTCCTTCCGGTTGTGCGTATGTGGGGAAAAAAAGCAGTGCTGTTGTATCATTTGAAAGTTCTGTTATTATGCTACTCTGTGCGGTCGTCAAACGCACAACATATTAAAGTGTCTTTGGTGTTTCCACCACTGTTCAAGTGGTTTTTGGATATTTTAATAAAAAAATCATACATATTGTGCCTTTAAGTTAATCTAAATGAGTAACTGTGTTATTGCTATGGGAAATTGTTGTTCATGTTATGATAAATAAAAAATGATTAAAATAAAAAATGGTAAATTAAAAAAATGTGCATTTACATTTTCTTAAGTATATTTAAAACATTAAGTAAAAAACATGAAATTAACATGCACTGTAAAAAAATGCATTTTTGGAAGTTAATAAAGCAGGTTATTGGAGTAAGTTTTACTAGAAAATACTGTTTCAGTCTTTCTTTTTCAAAAATTCACATTTAATTCAACATGTTTGCTTTATCTTTGTAATTGTTTACTATTTACTAGAAATTTATGAGAAAAAAAAATGTTTCTAAATCCTACACCATTTTTTTCAGTGCACTGTAAAAATGGAATTGTTGTGAAAATTTAAGCTTGATATATTTAGATTTAAGGTACTCTTGTCTGTTGGTCTTAGGTTCTATACAGGACATTTAATATATGTATAAATTTAATATAATATAATTTTTTTGTTTAGTTGCTTTGTTTACAGTGTATGGACTTAAAATATTAACAAACAAAAAATGTGTTTCTTTTAATGTTACAAACTTTTTTTTTAACAATGTCCATTCCTCTAGTACCTTGAGTTGTCCATAAATGTCCTCTCGGGTCTCATCTGTTCACATTATCATGGCTGTGGCATATTAGTAAGGGTGGGCAAATAGAAACCCGATTACCCTGAGGGAGCTCGAAACCCCCAGCCTTGGCCCCCCTCCATCAGACTGTGTTCTTGCCCATGGGACCTCCGCTGCAGCCCTGGAGCGGTGGCCTCTGCCCACCGCCTGGCACCCCCCTACAGACTTTCACTCTTTCAGTGCATGCCAGTGCATGCCAGTCTGCCACATGGTTTGGCCTGATTTAGAGTGATATAGCTAGCGTGTGTGTATTGTTTCAGGAGGTTCTGCTGACAGTGATGCAGTGTGAGTGTGACAGAGGCTGGAGCGCTGCCCTTTCCCCTCACTCCCGCCATTTCAACTGCATTGCTCTCTTCATTAGCACAAGAAATATCACCTTGTCATTTCAAACCAACAAGCCAATAATGTGTATCCCTGTATACTTGTGTGAGCGATATCTGCAAGTTTAGTTATGTCACACACAACCATGATTTGCTTGCTATATATATTTATACATTACTGTTCAAAAGTTTGGGTCGGTGGGATTTTTAAATGTTTATGAAAGAAGTCTCTTATATGCTCACCAAAGCTGCATTTATTTGATCACAAATATAGTAAAACAGTCATTTTGCTCATTATTATTACAATTTAAAATAACTCTTCTCTATTTTAATATATTTTAAAATGTAACTTAAAAGAAAGTTTGGAATGACATGACGGTGAGTCATGTGATTCATGTGAAAAGATGACAACATTTTCATTTTTGGCTGAACTTTTCTGTTAAAGGGACTTTGCACACTCTGCAAGAGGAAAACGAATAACAAGAATATTTTCTCTCATTTCCTGGACTGTGGTTATTTTGAAACCGATATCTGGTGACACAAAAAGTGACAAAAACGACTGCTGTGTGTGTGACATGCACATTTACCAGAGCACAAAGTGAAGTACTACTCTCTGTGTCGCATGGGAACATTGCAGCTTGAAGGCCAAGACCTCCTCTCTTCTTTCCCCTTCTGTATTTTGCAGTCATCCTCATGTTTTCTCTCATCCCTCTCTGTATTTTCACAGAAACAGCACAGTGCTGAACTCTAAGGTGATCTCTGTGACAATCAAACCCATTCCCAGCTCCCTCTCAACTCCACTAGAGATTGAGTTCTCACACCTTTACAATGTAAGTCAGTCTGCCCTTTAAACCCATATGTTGCATCAAACAGAATGTCTTTTTGCAATATTATTGAAACTATGGCTATGTCACTCATTTTTAATTTTAAAATGCTTTATTAAAAAGCATTCATTCTAATTTTAAAGAATAGATTATAATATATTTAGTTTATTATTTTTAATTGTTTTATTATTACTTTTACTTAATTAATTTATTTTACTTTATTTTAATTACTTTTTGCTGATTTTAAGAATTTAATAGCCTTTTACCAAAATTTCAGTATTTTGATTTTCATTTAAGGTTAACATTTTAAATTTTTTTTATTAATTTAATTTGAATTTTATTATTAATATTATTATTCCATTAATTATTTTAAATTAATTTAGTATTTATGTTTACAACTTTTTATTATTATTATTATTATTATTAATATTATTATTGTCAGTTTCCTCAATACTGCTGTCATTACTATCCTGCCTTCTTTTTTTGTTCCCCCAAAAAGTTTGTTTAAACTTAATTGACTGTTGGCAAATCCAAGACTACAACTCTTTTGCAAAATAAATAAATAAATAAGATTAACATCACTTATCATTACTATCACACACAGGACACAGCATCAAAAACCACTTGAAAAGCCTAAAAGCTGATGGCTATAATCAGATCTTTATTCCAGGACATGAAAAAAACAGTTTTTAATGAAAAATGGTGTGAAACAGTTTAATATTTTAAGATTTCAGGTAGCAAAAGTGCCCATAATTGAAGAATTTATGATACATATTTGCAAGGCAAAATCACAAGGTGACATCCTTCTCTGCCTCTCGCCCTCTTACACTGTCCAGGGTACCACAAACCAAACCTGCATTTCCTGGGATGAAAATGACAGGTGAGAAGCCGTTTACTGATTTAATTCTGTTTTTGCTGTCTGCTGAGTTTTTGCGGGGAATCTTTAGTCACACAGTAGGGTGTATTTTCTGAGACTTACGGAGGGGTGTGCTGATAAAGGGTTAGAGACAACATGCTGTAGTAGGTTAAAACATTGATGGAATCTCGGTGACAGGAGATGTTGAATCCTACACGTAGCTGCCTTGATCTTCACTTGACCCTGCACTTTGACACAGGATGATTGTTGCATGCCACATTCCTTCTGTACTTTAAACACATCAGCAGCAATTATGGAAAACACACTTCCAATTTAAGCAGAGAAGAGACACACAAAGCAGGATATAATGCAAAGCAGTTAGAAAGAGAAGAGAGGGAAGTGTTTTAGCATATTAACAAAAAGTACTTTGGTGGTTGTAGACATTTTATTTTTCATATTTATGTTGGTTTATATATTCAAGATGCAACTAGTATTGGTAAAAGCCAAATGTGCATGAATGTTTACACTGATTGCTGTGATACCGGACTTGCATACTGAGATGCAACAAACCAACTGCTTTAGAGGGCCACCAGTAGTGTTGGCTCATTTGTAACAAATTTGCATAGCTGCAGATTGTCCAAAAAATTGTTAAACAAGATATTGGTAGCTAACAATCAGTGTGAATGCTACATGTATCATACTGTCATATGGAAACTGTTTTAGGATGATATGATACCAACTTGCATTTTTGGATTATTGTCTTGGTAGCACTTTATAAAAAGGCTCAATTTGTTAATCCATTAGAAATCATGAACCAGCAATGAAACACATTTTTGCAGCATTTATTAATCTAGGATAGTGTTCATTTATAAATATAGTATTGCTTGCCATCACTGGAATTTTAAAAATATATATTATTATGTAAAATATATATATTTTAAATTGTTATAAGGTTTAACAATTATTGTTTTGCTGTATTTTTGAACAAATCTAAAAAAAAAAAAAAAAATCTTAACAGAACCCAAACTTTTAAATGCTAGTGTATGGTAATTTCTAGAACTTTACATGTGAAAAGTGTATTAGTATATATAGAAATTAACATTAACATAAATTAACATATATTAACCAATTGGACCTTATTGAAAAGTGTTCTCATTATTTTTAGTATGTATTTAGTTTGTATTTTCTGATTGTGTTAAAGAAATAGCAGTTACACAGATGTAGAGTTAATGAAACGTTTCCTTTTTTTTTGTTTTTGTTTTTTTAATAAAAAAAAAAACATCCTCCTAAGAGCTGCATTCGTATCTCAGGACGTTTTATGCACTATAAAATATAAAGGTTTAAATATATGAGTAAAGGATTGGCACCTGACATTCAAATGGAAATCCATCCTGTCATCTCAATAATCATCTCAGTCATCTAGATAAATGAATGCTTAGCCTGTTATCACAAACATGATTGGTACGTCTTTACCAGTGCCGAGAAACATAACAGGTAAATCATGACAGCGTCGCTCTAAGTGCTTCAGCTGTGAAATTTACATCTGAATTATTATTGTCACATTCAAAATACAAACTGAAGAGTTGAAATAGGAGAATCATTATGTATTACCATGAGAATAAGTTCGGTTTCATTAGCAAACATGAACAGAAATGTATTTCTTATTTTTCCTCTGCAGAGAGAGCAAGCAAATTGAGACTGCATCTTTGAAGCCAGATTCTACTGAAAGAGACAGACAGACAATCCGACAGATGAGCACCAGAATTGTTGTACTTTAATAAAAAACCGTAGGCCTCCTGGTCATGCTTGTACTTTCACCCCCTACACATCCATCTGCTTGTGCTCTCTTTTGTCTTTTAAAACTACAAAGACTAGTTTGTGCCCATAGCACTTAATGCAGTGTGGGTGGAACATTTGCATTTAGATGGATACATATATAGATATGTTAAAGATATAAAGTTTTCTGCCATTGCCTCGAGGGGGAACAGACTGAGAACAATAGCATTGGGTGGTTATGGTGTAATTATTGGTTATCAGGGCATTGTTGTGCTTAATGTGCACACTTTTAGTACGTTGCAAGAGGGTTCCGTGTGGTTTCTTGCAGGACAAAAGTTTAAAAGTTTGGAGTCACTACTTTTGATAATTTGTTTTTTTTAGATAAATTAATACTTTTATTCAGCAATGATGCATTAAATTGATTAAAAAAAAGTGACAGTAAAGACTTACATTGTTTTATAAAATCTATTTTAAATAAATAATACTGTTCTTTTGAACTTTCTATTCATAAAAGAATCCCGGAGAGGAAGAAATTATAAACAATATTAAGCAACACAACCATTTTTAACATAAGAAGAGCACCAAATCAGCATATTAGAAGGATTTCTGAAGGATCATGTGACACTGAAGCCTGGAGTAATGGTTGCTAAATATGCAGCCTTGCATATTAGGAATAAATGACATTTTATAATTTATTTAAATGAAAACCATTTTTTTTTTTATTGTGATAATATTTGACCATTTAACTGGTTTTACTGTATTTATGATCAACTAAATGCAGCCTTGGTGAGCATAAGAGACCTCTTTCAAAAACGTGTATACAGTATATAAGACTATGGACAATCTTTTTGCATGTTTTAATATTCAGCAGACAAAAAAAAATACATCCGTTTGCTTAGAAAAGTAATAATATACCAAGCACCATTTATAACAAAAGACAATAATACAGGGAAATGAGAAGAAAAGGAAAGAGAAGGAGAAGGGTGACACAGAGGAAGGAGTGAGATAAAGGGAGCGTAAGAGAGAGGCTGAGAGACAGGAAGAGGACAGTGAAATGTAATCTGCCTGCATTGAGCGAAGGGGAGCCGGGGCTGGTGTGTGTTTGGTGCGAAATTAAAATCCATTTTGGACAGCTGCTATGATTAATGAGTTCATATTTGGGAGAGAAATTGGAATGTGAGGAGGTGTCCTTGTCACTGACTGTCTTTTACTTAACAGCTTTAAAGAGTCTGGGCTTTCTATTGACTCACACTTCAATCACACGCTAGCGATACAAGCCAGTAATTTTGTGTCATATGAGTTCGCTATACAACATCAACTGAAACTAACCCCCTGTAACTCTCCCATGGCAGTGGAGGCGCTAGATGGCCACCCTCTCAGGGAAAGGTACTACGCATCACTGAAGAAGTCAAATTGCAAATAGGAACCCTGCACTCGGAACTCATCCGATTCTACGTCATCCACTCGCCCAATCACTCTATTATTCTTGGATTACCCTGGCTGCTCACACATAATCCACGTGTCTCTTGGAGAGAGGGAGAGATTCTTCAGTGGGACATTACATGCCATGATCATTGTCTCTCAAAGATTCCCTGAGCGTCCAGTCATGCACATTCCCCGCCTGTTCACAATCGGAACCTGCCCCCAGAGTACTCTGATCTCGCCGAGGCGTTCTACATCGAGGAGGAATTAGCTAAAGGATTCATCCGACCCTCAACCTCTCCCGCTTCAGCCGGGTTCTTCTTCGTCAAGAAAAAGGATGGAGGGCTGTGACCATGCATTGATTACTGTGGCCTCAACGATCTCACCATCAAGTTCCAATCCATTGCCCCTAGTCCCAGCCGCGCTAGAACAGCTTTCCTTGATTGCTTGCCGCCTGCCCCGATCTCTCGCCTGGTACTCGACTCTGTCTCAGCCTTGTCTCTGCTGTTCTACCTTGCCGGTATCTGACCCTGTATTGTCTGATTATTCTAATAAAAGCTGCAAATGGATCCACACGCTTCTGACTCGTCACAACAGAAAGATGTAACATAAAGCCCTAATGTGCATGACTGATAAGTAAAATCTAAGAAGAAACCATTATTTCAATGAAAACCATCCATGTGAAGTGTCACACATGGAATTCTAGGAATGTCATTTTACATTTTTCACTGCAAATTATGAGATGACTTTTTCTTTTTCGCTTCCGTGAACTATAATTAACAGTATTTTACTGTAAATATTACATGAAATATCCATTACATTTATTACAGTTTTTCACCATATAGTAAATAATTATTATATGGGAATTATTAACAGGGTTATTATCATTAACTAAAACTAAAACTGTTAAAACATTTTTGATAACTGAAATAAAGATTAAATAAAATTAAAATATAAATATTAGATGAAAAACTTATTTTAGTTAGTTGCCAAGTTTTCCATTTAGTTTAATTTGAAGAACTAAAATTACTAACTGGAAATAAAATAAAAACTAATAAAAATTACAAAAGCACATAACAAAATTACTAAAAATGTTACAAAATGAAAACTGAAAGTATAAAAATAAAAGCTAATTCCAAATATTAAATACAGCTGCAAGGAGCAATTAAGGGGCCAAGCACAGCAAAATGGGGAGCTAAGCATGGGGCATCAGACCAACTCCAACAATAAGTAATTAAAGCTTTTAGGATGATTTTAGTCAAAATGGCTGAAAAATCCTAAATATAATATGATTTACTGGTTTATCACTTTTGAACAATAGTTGGCACCGTTATCAAGTTGTTATGGTGTAGTCAGTGTGAAGGGACAGTCACACATAAAAAGTTTGGTGTCAAATTCCACCACTTTTTTGTGTGTCCTCAGATTGTGCCCATACATATGTGTCAAATTTGGTGAAAAAATATTTTGTTTTGGAGTTATAGACATATCTATGAGAACATAAAATATGACCCATTTCCAACTTTGATTGCATTTTTTGCCACTTAATAGCCAACAACCTAGGTTTCTGAATTTCCTATGGTGGTTTCATCTTGATCGGACTAACGGTTTTGAAGATATCGCAAAAGTTGTTTAAATACTAAATCACAACGTTGCACAAACCATAAGGCGAAACCAACCATGTTTGGTATCGTTGGACTCAGCAATGATTTGGGAATCTAAGGAGATATGACTCATGTGAAAATATGTCAACCACAATCCAAAGTTATTTACGTGAATATTTGATTTTGGCTTGAAACTTTGCAGGCTCCTTCAGGGCATCGTGCCGATGACCCATACTGAGTTTTGTAACATTACACTAATGTGTTCATAAAATACAGCATTTTAGTACAAAATTCAAAATGACCGATGCCCAAAATGGCCAATATGGGAAAATTGGATATCATTCAACTCTGCATGCAGTACCGAATCTAATGAGACAGATTTTATGATTTTTGGGCAAACCCTTCAGAGGTTATATGCAAAAATATAAATTTTTCATATCTTCTTCTGTGCTGAAACTGTGCAGGTACCCTCAGGTCATGGTTGTTATAACACACACCAAGTTTGGTCTAAATATGACCAAGTGTTGGAGAGATATAACCTCATGTCCGATTTGGCGAGCTTTTTGTTGAATTCGTTTGCATGGTTTTTGGGAACGGATGGGTGTATCAAAAAGCATTTGATAACGTTTTGCCAGGATTGTCTGAAGATGATCTGTGTTAATTTTTATGAAAATCAAATGAACTGTCTAGAACAAGTTTGAAAAAGTAAGTTTTTCAAACTAATAAAAATTGTGAAAAATCTTGACCCCTAGAATTTTTAATTTTGGTGTCCACTTGACTCGGCATGAGGAGGAAAAAAAAAGAATTGTGTGTCTAAACTTTACGGTTCAAAAGTTATTAGCGAAACATGAGTGAAAATTTGGACAAGTGGTGGCGCTAGAGAATTTGAGTTTGAGACACCAAATTTGCTGTGGTTAATGTTGAGACTGTCCTCTGTCAGTGTGCCACATTTCATAACTTTCCCACAAGTAGTTCTATGGACTGCCATAGACTTCCATAGTGGAAGAAGAAGAAGAATAGGAAAACTAACGAATACAATAGGTGCCATAACACCTTGGGTGCTTGGCCCCTAATAAAAACTTTAGTAGTATAAATAAATTTAATAAATCATAAATTGCCAATTAACCTATTTTTACAGCATTTTTGCAGTCTTTTACCATTAAAATTACAATCTTTTTTTCACAGTGTTCATATATTGTTCATATATTATTTTATATATTTTTTTTTTTAATACATATATTATTTAACGGGACACAAGCTTACTTTTCTTATGCATCTGCACTTGGCATGTTCTCTGCAAACATGCACACTACTGGACTGCAAGCCCGTGATCCAATTACACAGCCATGTGCTGTCTTTATATTTGTGTGGTCGACACAAAGTCTTAATCGTATCATGCGCAGTGTCTGTGCAGTGGGTGATAATATATTGAGTTTCAGGTTTATGTGCTAATGTTAACACTGAGCCCTCCCCTGGGGCTGCAACACGCTGTGCTTCCAGCGCTATACTGTTTGGCCCTCAGCGCTCTTCAAGCCCCAGTGCATTATGGGTATGCCAGACTGCAGAGCTCTACTGCACAGTGGGTTTGGAATGGTGCCGGTAACCCTGGGTTTGTGTGGAAAAGCGCTTGTGTGTGTGCGTGTGAGTATATTGACTCCACGTTGCAGCTGCATGAAGAGGATGCTACATGATTGATGGCTCTCTATTAGGATCAGTTGTGCATGGAGTGGGTATGTTTTGATATGACTTTCATATCACTTACATTGATGTCATTATGAGGTCTTTGTTACAATTATTTGAGCGTTAGATCAGACACAGTCGAATCATGCTGTCAAGAGGGTTCCTCATCAAGATTATGAGATTCAAATTTGTGTAGGTGGTGGAATGGACTAATTATTCAGTGGCTTTGGGCATCGGCAATAACCGCAACCTTAATGTTTACTTGTATTATGGTATTCATGCTTTTATTTTCATCTGCTTTGGTGCATGCAAGTTTTATGGGAAGCATAACATTTCTTGCAAAGAATAGAAAGATGTGGATTAATGTTTCTTTGCGTCTTATGAAAAGTCAGCTTTTTTTGACATTTTTAGTGTATGACTTAGTGTGTGTAATCTCTCCATATATTATAATATTCTGTGATATTTTAATATTATTCACAGCTTCTATCACAGTCAAACAAATACTGATTCAGAAATTCAGAACATTTACTCTTCATTGAGCTCAGGTCCATTAAATAATATTAATAGATACAACGTTTGATTTTAGTAATGTGTATTAGTAAATGTTGAGATGCATAACATGAACTAAGATTAATAAATTAATAAATGAAGTTAACTAATGTAGTTAACTAATGTTAACAAATGAAACCTTATTGTAAAGTGTTACCAGTAATTGATTAGTTTATGTTCAATACTCTGTATCTGAACACGTGGGACATCACATGCATATCTGACATTCACAAATTGTAGATAGTAAATAGAAAACATTAGACACTTTGCTGTGGTT